ATCACCGAAAATTTGAATTTCTTTCTTGCTCCATTAATTTTTTTGAGTAGTGTACTTTTTATGCGTGCAAAATATTAATATTCCATGGAAATAAGAATTTTTGAAAAAATCCATAACTTGTCAAGTTGCAATTATCCGATAGTTTTCACATTTCATATAACTTCTCAAAACACATCCTAAAGGGCTTGATTCAGAAGAGTAACTGATCACTCAATTGCTTCTCGGAAATAAGAAAAATGGAAATAAAAGACGTCAACATAATGAAAACATTTTATTCTGTACCCGTTATATACATATATAGAAATGTACAGAGTGTAACAGTATAGTGCTGTCTATCACAAGAATATCATATAATGTACATAAGAAAGTACATATATCACGGTAGCTGTACATATACAAATTCAAAAACAAATTCTTTAAAAACAATCACGTATCATCGTCATTCAAATTTGATTACGTGCATTTTCGTTCTATTAGTATCTCGGATTGGTTACGTCCCATGAAAAACGGTTTTTATGTTCTAAAATCAAAATTTTATATGAAATTAGTATTAAAGTATTAACCACAAATATTAAATAGAGTAATCAATTTATTTCACTACATTTCGAAAGTGGCAGCAATTCCACTTTTACACCTGTAATTATTATATCAACTTACATAGAAAATTGTGTCCAATTTTCACATTTTGTTTTAGAAATATTCAAAGAAAGATTATAATCACAGATCCATTAGAACAGAAACAGTACAGAGGTGTGACATTGATGGACATTCATATATGTACGACATATATTTTTGCTACATTGTCGAGAATTGCTTAAGCTTACGATAAATAGATACAAACCTACATGCCTTTAGAGCATAAAAAGCATGAAAATCCTCAGAGCGCTACGAACATGTATAATAAAAAATTGAGTGGATCAAGTGAGCCAAACAGGTCCAAGCAACTGATCTATAGTCCCCACTCGTTTGACAACGCTGCGATCTAGTGTGTTGACGATATTTATCTGTATTTCTAAGTTTGAAGGCTAAATGTACGAATAAATCTGAAGTGTGTGAAATAGGTATGTCTAATAATATAAGTCAAAACTATAATTCCACGACCTGGGATGACAGGCCATATCTCAGGTCGGGCTAAAGAGCTATGCGGTTTTGCGAAATTTCAGAGTCCCGAAACGTGGTCAATCTGGGAATGTGGTCAAAGTTTGAATGTTCGGCAACAACGTGAATTTTAAGGTTTTGGCAACTTTACCATTCTGGCTAGTCCTATCATTCGAAAGCATTAGTTCCTGCAATATGTGACTATTCCGGAGTAACGTTGTCCAAAATGGACTTCAAATTGCGATCTGATAATTCGTTCAGCAGATATTTGAGTCAAAAATTATACTTTCCAAATTCTTCATTATTCCCTTGGACTAACAATTCGGAAGCCTTTAGAAACAAAAAATCCACAATACTAATCGCTCTATACGAGTTGAATTTTAGGATATCTAAATTGGTCGTACTGCCCTGTACAGCTAGTTTTAAATATTTTTGTCTGAAATTTGTCATCTGCATCATGCTGGAGGAATTATAATTGTTATTGGAGATTTAGATGACAAAAGATGTTAGCTATGTCATGAGTGCATCAAAACTTTGCTAAATGTTAATTAGCTCAATTTAGCTAATATTTGCAAACAACCAATATTTCAGTATACAGAGTGCCCAAGTTGAGGAACGCGATTTCAAAAATGGTTAGAGCTACAATGTTGGTTGAATGAGGAAAAACGTTGCGCGATAGTACCTTTCACATGCAGTTTACAGAACTCGTCTGCCATTTTCTGAGTTTGAGTTATTTGGAGGAAATGTAATCTCGAAAATTTGTAAATTTATACTTTTCTCCAGTTAACCAGAGATCAGACAGCAGCCATTTTTTTTTAATTTAACCAACATTGTGGTTCTAACTGTTTTTGAGATCGTAATGCTCACTGGACACTTCTAAACTATTAGTTTTTTTCGACTATCTCTGAAAAGCTGACTTAACCAACAGACGTTGAGCAATGTGTTGAAATTAAACTCAATCTCCAATACCATCCATATACCTCCTCTATCATGATGAAAATTGAAAATTTTGAGTCCAATCCCGTCCCAAAAGATTTTTTCTCGTGCCTGTGATTGTTATGATTGTGGTAAACGGTGTCTGAGCGCTGAACGTGGTGGTACCACCTGACGGATCTCTCTCTCTCCCTAGAGCCCGTGGAGGTTCCAGGAGAAAAAAGAAGCCTTTGAACCGTCAAGAAAACGAAACTTGTGAAATTTATGTTTTTTTGTTATTTGCCTGTCGCTCCCCGCAATTCGTACGATCTTAAGAAACTACAAAGCTTTTTTCGGATTTGGATTGATGTCACATTTATCACAATCCGACTGATAAGTACTTTCCAAATCATAGCGGGGCAAAGGATTAGCGGACAGACAAACGGACAAACCGACGCTTTTCCTTGATCTACATGACATGTAGATGACTTTTGCACTAAATATGGAAAATCTAGATTTTAGGTAATATCCTATTAGGAGCATATACGTTATAAATTGTTTAGTGTTATATACAAATATTTAAAGCCTCTGGTATGGCATTAATTAACATCGTTTTTGGTCTAAACTGGATTTTTTATCATTTTCAAAACTTTAAAGGCGAATTGCTCAATAATTGTATTTCCTGGTTGGTTCATTTCTGCAAAAAGCCGTCCATATACGAGTATATATTGTCCAAAAATATTTTTTAAATTATTTTGCGATTACAATTCTTCTTAGCTAGTTGGCGTGGAAATTAAAAGACTAGCGTAACGAAGAATCTTGCGTATTTCCTAGAAATATACCTTATATCAAAGACTACTAGATCGAAGCATGTTACCACACTAGATAACATTGAGACAAAGACCAGGTGTTGGAAAAAAAGCATTTTTGCTGTCACCATTGTTTTTTTGGAAGCCATATTAGAGTAAAACATAAAAATTGTACAGGGTGACCCATCCATGTATGGACGGAATGGTACTCATAAACAACTACATTTTGGAAAAAACTATTCATGGAATGTTATACATGACATTTGAGGGCACGTTTCTAAAATATTGAGCATTATTCAGGGTGTCCCAATTTCGATCTACATATCAAAGCTTTGACTTTTCAAATGGAATGCCTCAAATTTTATTGCATATTTGGATAAATCAATTCACAAGAAAAAACTTGATATTACATACCATGGGGTTTTGGTAATTAGCTACTGAGACCCCCCTCTTCGGCGTAACTATTTGGACACCTGTAGTAACAATCATTGGATCGGTCGTGATGGGCCTATATTTTGGCCTAGATCACCAGATATGGCACCAATGGACTTCTTTCTATGGGGCTACGTTGAGCAAGAGGTTTATGAGTATTCACCACACCTACCCCTGAAAATATGAAAAAAAGGATTAAGGATGCTTTTCTGAACATAAGGGAACACATGCTGAAGGATGTGCAACGGTCGTTTATCCAAATGGTGGAGATAGTTGTTTTTTTATATTGCTGTTATAGCTGTTTTTCTCTATTACGCTTGAAGCTGATTTATACTGATCTGATTGTTATTAGTTTTTACGTCAAATCTGTACTCTTAGTGGAAATATGGAACTAGCCCACTGTTTGTCTTTTGTTTCCATGCATGATGTGATTTTTTCTTTAATTTTGGTGTGATGTTCTACTAAAAGCTTAATAACTCAAAATCTAGTAATTTTATCTGAATCAAACCTTATACCAACAAGAAGCTTATAAAAAATTGAATCCAAACCTGCACGAATATATAGGATGATGCATTAAAATTTTTGAAAAAAGTACAATTCGCGAAAAGGTAACAAACAAGATAAAAGCTGAGGTGTGTAGGCTTTTTTAAAACAAAATGTAGCTCTCCAAATTTCAAAATGGCGTATTGAAGAGTTGGCGAAGTGGACGGTTTTTCTGGACAAAACACCTTACATATCAGTAGCTAATTTAAAAAAATCCATAGTATGTTATATCATATATATCATTTTGAATTGGTTTATCCAAATATGCAATAAAATTTGGGGCATTCTATTTAAAAAATCACAACTTATGTAGGTCAAAATTGGGACACCCTGTATAATTGTCAATATTTTAGAAATGTGCCCTCAAATATTATATATAACATGCTATAAATAGATTTTCCCAACATGTATTTGTTTATGAGTAATACTCCGACCACACATGGATGAAAACGTTCGACGCGAAATTACCCGGCTCTTATTGTGTGAACAAGTTCAAGGCAACCATTTCCAGCATCTTTTAAGCTAGACTTAACGTATTTATTCGAATTATCAAGTTAAATGTCAATGTATTCAGGTAATTATTAAATGCACCACCAATTTGTATTAGGTAGGTAGGTATTGACTTTATATTCTAGGATTATAAAGTACTCGTCAGGAACTTAGAAATGATGTGCCCGTCTTCATATAACTGTTTTTCCAAGATGGCGCCCAGCGGCCATCTTGACATTTTCATCTGTCAATTTCACTCTAAAATATCCATGCATCAATTTTATTCCCTCAAGTTTTAATTTTTTGAATTTACACTTTTTACAAAACCTATATATTTTTTATGTCATTGCACTACATTGTAGTAGAATGTGGTTCGAGGACGTATAGAGTCAACCTACTTGACTCCATATTTTAGGCTCAGATACGAGCCCTTCGTCTTCGCAGTGTCAAAATTCACGGGAGGTGAAGAACTGGGAATAAAAAAATCCGTCATCAACTCGTATGACGCGCGCCGGTACGCGCGAAACCAGCCCGGTTTGAGCGCCGCGACGCCCGACGCTTGGCGTCTCACTTGTTGTCCGGCCGTCGAAGCGAAGCGATCATACAGTGTGCGCCGCCATGCGGGATCTAGTTGACCGCGAATCTCGAGCGCTTCTTGAGCTCTCGTAGGACTTCGAGGGAGCTTTTCTCAGGCGTCTTCTGCTTGTCAAGGTCATCATGGAGCAGCTTAGATGTCATGTGAGTCTGTCCGTCCGTATGCACTTATATGCATGAAAAAGTTGATAAGTTTTCGGCGCACTGACTGTATACGCTTAAGAGAAGTTAAGGTTGAAAAAGTGATTCAATATGCGTAAAAAAATTTTATGATGGTAAATGTGTCACTGATTTTTTCTAGTTATTAGTTAATCGCGCAAGCGTACGAAAAAAGACGTCTCAATAAACTCCGTGTTACTAAAATTTAGAAACATACAGGGTGTTACAAGGACGCATTCCTAAACCAAATTCAAGTAGAAAAATGCATATATCTTTGAATCATATCTTTTGGTTTCAATGTGTCTTAAAAAGCTAGCTTTACAAGATACTGGATGTAAGAGCTTAATAAAAAAAAGTCTAATCAATATCTCAAAGATTCTGCTGTTGAGCCTTGGCATGGTAGTTCATTGCAATAATACATCATACGCCAAGTTAGCACTAATAATATTGACAAAAAAATGTACGACCTTGGAAAAATATGTATATTTTTCTGCATCAAGCAGCTAATAGTACAGCATTTTTGTCCCTTGGTGTCTCTTCGTATCTTCGTTTTCGAGGAAAAAATCAAAACGACTTCATTACATGTCAAAAAAAAAAAATGTTAAAATAAAACCAAATTAACTCCGTAAAATCCTTACTAAGGAATGTTGTTCTGGTGTTATGAACATATCTTTCAGCTGCCGTAACGGTTTGCTATACCGTTTCCTTTATTAAAAGTTGTTTTTTTAAACTTCAACATTGTTTTAGGTTGCATTTTTATATGAATTTTCCTACTTAAATTATGTCCAGAAATGCGCCCGCGAAATGGGCCTAACGTTAAGTAACACCATATAGTACAGGGTGTTTCACAACTTATCCAACAAATTTCAACCACATATGCACTGTTACGAAAGAAGTTGACTTCTCAAAAAGAACTACAGAAATCGAGATAATAAGTAATACAGTTTAATAGTTCACTTACTTATGAAAGCTGTTCAAAATTGTTTCCACTGACTGCAATGCAAGCTTGGGCGGGTCTAATCCAATTTCAGCGCACTGATTCAAAGACACCTCCTTCCTGCATTGCCTGAAGGCTCAAATTATCGGCAGCCACTGTGATTCGGTCACGCAATACTTTAATATTCTGAACTGGAGTACGGCATAACTCGTTTTTTAAGTATCCCCATAAAAAGAAGTTTAGATGATTTAGACCGGGAGACCGTGGAGGCCATGCAATTGGAATACCCCTTCCGATCCAGTGAATCTAGTATATCTGATTAAAAAAATCACGAACTTCTAAATGAAAATGCGGAGGTGGCCCATCGTGCAGAAACTACATCCGTCGCGGACCGCGAATTTTTTCTCTGCTCCTCCGTACGCTAAAACAATGTCCACTAACTCCTCATTATCGTACACATGTTTCATTTTTATTAATAAATAACTAAACAAATCAACTCGCAAATTACTTTCTTATTTACCTTCACAAAAATCGACCGTTCTTCATTCAGATCACCCACGATACAGATTAAACCTTATTTACACGTTCTTATCAGTATGAAACGACAAAAAATTCCTGGTATTTTGTTTTCATCAGTTTGCTACAATAAATTATTAATAGGTCTTCTAATATCACGACGCTGAACGCAAAATACAGATATATATATATATGTTTCAATTTATTATTGAAACTAATGTTTATAACTTAATTTCTGTAGGACTCTTATTACATTTTATTGCGAGAAATCAATTTCTTTCGTAACAGTGCATATGTGGTTAAAATTTTTCGGATAAGTTGTGAAACACCCTGTATATTCACATTTTTTAATCAGTTTGTTTAATTTGAATTGAAATCTACAACTTTGGTGAAAATCTTCTCACACGACAAGAAATCTACTTTTAAATAAGATAAATTGTTTTTGCCCTTCTCCGAAACTACTTAAAATTTTAAAACTGTGCAAGTGACTTTTGTAGTTAGCTAGGTGCGTAACTTTTCCCTATTTAGAATACCTCGTATCTATCACCGTTTTCAAGATCCCAAAGGTGTGAGTAGAATGTGAAGCAGCCGTTATGTAAAACGAAAAATAAGCACTGCCACCCTAAACTGATCAGACGCTTTAAAATGACAAAAAACAAAGTTTAGAGATTCTTTAAAGCTTTGCTTCCTTCAAATAAATTTTAGGATACGCCAAAAGTTATCAGTACATTCTAAAACACGTAGTTTTGGAACGATCTAATACTTTCTTGTTCTTTACTCGTATTTTTGTCACTACTGCACTGTTTTCCTATTTTAAGCAGCATTACCTATAGACTTTGTAGCTACTATAGCTCTACTATTCTCAAAATTTCTTCAAAATTGGGGCAGCTAACAAACACAAATTTGTAATTTTAAATTCTAACATTTTTGTGATCACATAACTTTATGGGTTCATGGGTGGGAAATAAAGTAAAAAGAAATACAGACGAACTGAAAAACACAAAAACATATGTACATTTTATGTTTTGATTTTTTTGATTTAATCTAAAGTAATTGATTCAAAATTAGATGTGTTACCTAAAATTATGGCTGATTTTTTCTAGTGATATACTGCTTAAAATTTCTGGACTCCATAATGTTTTCCTAGAATAATAAGGATATATAAACATACATTTTCCCATGCCACGTTTCCAAATATTTTAGCCCTATCGTATCAAAAAGTAGTATTTTTTTTTCTGCAAAAAATACATATCAAATACGAGTACATATATCTCAATAATGAAGCTTTATCGTCCTCATGATGTTTAAATTCGGTCAAAACCACTCAAGTAATCAGTACTTAAGTTGCGAGAACATTAATGAGAAGAAAAGCAAAAAAAATTGACATGCAGCTGTCTCTTTCTGACTTTTTTGTTGAGCATTGCTGATTGAAATTTTTGCAAGACACGAATCGCTCACCTTCTTTTCAATGAGCGTACACCTTAAAACTTTTTGTAGACACTAGTGACATCTTCTACAGGGTGTTCCTTAATAAAATGTTAATATTCTATGATATTATTCCTAATTATAATTATTTGTAACAATTTTATGAAGAAGAGTTTATATATGAACGTATCTCCACAAGATGCTTAATTTACTTACTAAAGTCGTTGCATTTTTATGAAAAAGAATGGTTACTATTGTTTATTTTATGAAGTACATTGAAGATTATTTTTAATTTTAACATATTATAAGAGGGTATCTTAGTATAAATCTTGCCTAGTGATCTTTTACGCACAAGTTGGTAACCCGCTTATTTCAATGTGAATATTTCTAAATTACAGTTATCATTTCGCAGTTAAAATCCAAGAAGGTGCAATATAGGAACAAAAAAGAAATGTACTGATGAGCAAGCTAGCTGGAAAAAATATTCAATTTGAAAATATCATGGCAAGCCGAATAACGCTTTACACAATAACATGTCATTTTGTATCCTCTCACATATCAAGAACAAAAGTAATATTTAAAGAAGTTCCAAAGATATGGAATAAAAACATTTTTTAGCTAAACATTTAATCCATTGCAGCCGTATGTTCACATAAACCTTTCTTGTTAAAATTGAGGAGTCGCATCCTTAAAGATCACCTGGTACCTGAAACCACACATCGTCAAATATCAGCAGATCATTTAGGCCCGTATCGTCAGTCGTCCCTACAATTGTAGGGCGCCTTTATGGCCTCCTTGATTGTCATAGTTTTCTGCTTCTCCGTGTCAGAACTCTATTTTGAGGTTATGTCACAAACATCTATTTGCATCAAATTGTGCTTGCTTTTGAGTTATATCATGTTTTATCAGCCTGAAATTTCCTACAATTTAAAAAGAAAACATGTTCACAATAGGAGAGCGCTGACGCTGACACGGGACAAGTGTAATCTAGAAATTTTCGAAGGAGGGAAAGGAGTATGACAATCAAGGAGGCCATAAACGCGCCCTACAATTGTAGGGACGACTGACGATACGGGCCTAAGAGATACACATACACATTATACTCCTGCAGTGCGCCTATGGAGGAGCATTGCGTATACGTACGGCATTATTACTTTAATTTTCAGGGAAAGAGATAAATTCAACCATTTTAGCTATTGTACACGTGGAAAGTTTTATAATTACTAGGAATTTATTAACTTCCGCAGAACGTACAGGCATTTATCTGGAGACCTGACACACCGGTTGGGATAATTAAAGTTTGGGTAGTTGGCTTTTGGGTATAGACTAGCCAGAAAGGTTGTTACGAGGAAAAGGAGGAGTTGGAATACATCTAAAGGTGCAAATGAGGGGTGATATGGGATACCCGTGAGGAATAAGGATCTTCGAGCTCGTGGAAAACCTCCAGAGTGCTAAACAGTACGAACTTGGAATTTTATGGATACAGCTACATATACACAGGATGTTCTTAATACATTGACCGCTTTGTCAGTCACTGCTGACTGGCGCTGAACAGTTCCAATGGTTCCGTGATTTCGGCAACTGAAACTATACAGGGAGCATCAAATTTGTCTGACGGCTTGAGTTCAATGTGTACGAGATAGAAGCGCGAGAAGTGTGAATCAACACATGTTAGAAGGAGATAGAAGCCGGCTGAAGAGCGAAGGTCATCACTACATCGCCTAGCAATAAAAACTCAGAAGGTCGTGCAATCTGCCGATTCGAAATCGATCCTAAACAGATTACGCTCAAAATAAAGCGTAGAGAATAAACTATACGCGTCTGCGTTGCTATACAATGCGGTGATGAAGTTCACTATCCAGTCGGTTCCATCTTTTTATAACATATGCGTCGATACACACTTCTCTCTCATACACATTGAACTCAAGCCGTCAGACAAATTTGGCTCTCAGTGTGTACTTACTTTAAACTTATTGTTTAGCGCTGCCAGTCACGAGTTCTGTGTTACATTTTATTAGATTTACCTGACGCGGAATGCACCGAAATAAATATTCATATCCGTTCATAGCCTGTTGAAAAAAACTTAAAAGCATAACAATCTATTTTG